GGGGGGGGGGGGTTAAAAGGGGTATGCCTCCAGAACACAAAACACCCTGTATATTTTCACATATCTTTGACACTTTAACACCCTGTATCTCGTTAACCATGGGCCTGAGAAGAAAACTTAAATGGAAATTCGACCTGTGTCCATAAGGTTGTGAATCACCCTGTAAGCTGCAATTAATTTCATCTAAGTAAGAAGAAAAGATACAGATATGCGGAAAGCAATTAGTCCGGGACATTTTTTATTCCACAATTCAGATATCGCTTTATATTCCGCAATTAATTTCAAAGTTTTAGTTTCTCCATTATTTTTTTACTGCAGCAAATCCTGAGAAACAAGCCACGTTTGTTTCGTACGAAACACAAGCGCAACAAAAAAATCTGTGTCTGTCAATTTTGTTGCGATACACGCTTAATTTGTCAACAGGAAACACGTGTTTCCAGCATGTTGCGCAACATTGTTGCGATACAAATATATCCAGTGAACGCGTACCTGCAACAAGTAGTACTTACTCCATCAGAAATCTCTTCAGCTTAATCAGAAAATGTCGGTATACTTATTTAAAATCACGGTTAACTTTAAGCATAAATCGTAACGTACTGTGAGTGTTCTACAAAAAGTATTTATCATTTTTTAAGTCCTTTATGTAGTTTAATTTTGATAAAAGGAAGGAAGAGCGTGAGCTGATAAACAAGAAACATCGGTTTCTGAATCGTAATTGTGGTTATCTGTGGATACATAACTAACCATATATTTGCAGACTACCTGCTTTGGTACATGTTAAAACAATTTGTCGTTTTCCTTCCTTAAAACATTTTTAACCTTCCGTTTATTAACGATATTTTGTTTGCCCGGCGGCTGCCGGAGGATAAAAATCTTGTCACACTCTTGGACACACCCGATGTCCCGTAACACCGGGTAGTGTTGGATTTCTACCGACTTAAAATCCCAAAGATTTGGCTGCAAGTTTTCTGAAGTTATCCTTTAAAATTTGGATCAGCTCCACTCCGGACTCACGTCCCCATTGATAATCTGCTCCGTCTAGGTTGACGTTTCCATCTACCCTGTCACTTTTCCTTCTAATTAGAATGGCCTGGATCTGTGATGATGTGCACTTGATTCACTTCTGCAGTTCATCAGCAGCAAGATGCATATTTAACGCGCACTCTCCTGCGCCATGATGATGACACCAGAGCTGTATCGTCCGCCAAAAGAGCCAGGGGCGTATTGGCGTTTCTTGGGATGTCACTGGTGAAAATGTTGTAGCAGATCGGGGACAGTACTATTCCTTACGAGATTCCTGCTTCTGTGCTTTTATTCTCTGACCTGAATGTCCTTCTGCAAATGTAACTGTCTATTAGCTGCCACATTTTCTTATCGATACCTGATCTCATAATTTTATAGATGAGCCCATCTCATCACATTCTGTCGAAAGATCTCTCGATGTCCGTAGCGCGGATACCAGTTGTTCTCTTATAGTTCATCTCCTTGGCGCAACCGGAGTGTTTACCACGGAATCCAAATTGCTCTGGCTGCGGAACGTCAAACTCACTTGGCCTTCTCCCGTCAGCCTCCGTAAGATGCCCTTTTCTGCTATCTTGCCGAGGTTGTACAACAGTCTGATCGGCCTGTAGTTCTGAGGAAAAGTCGTATTCTTTTTGGGCTTTGGGCGCATAATGACGCCTCATTGTTACCAGATGCTTGGGAAATGTCAAGTCCTCAAAATGGCATTGATTTAATATGTCTTTCTCTGCAGCTTCTTAAGCATCTTGTTGCTTATTCCATCTATCGCAAGGGCTGTCCTCGTCTTCACCTTGCCTGGTGAAGTGGTGGAATACATCTGTCCACTGTCTCTGCTCGGAATTTCCAAACGGCCGTTCTGCCGGCAGTCCCATGCCCTTTGGCCTCATCAGAGTGGGTATTCTCCCTGGCCTGTTCTTCTATAGTATTTGCGAAAGCTTCAGTTTTATCACAGTTAGTATATACCAGACCTTACACTCCATGTAGAACCGGTATCTTGAGGTCTTGGTTATGTAATGCTTCTCTAAACATAGACCAGTTTACGGTAGTCCTTGATTTGAGAAGAGGAGTTCGTTCTTTATCGCCGCAACTCACCTCTCCTCGCAGGTCATCTCTTCTTTTGTCTCAATGGTGACCGCCCATCTGATGCTCTTTAGGATGGCAATATCCAACACCTCCGGTCTCCAAACTCTTGTTGGGATTGATGTGGGAACCTCAGGACCCAGGACTACCGCATTGTGGGCGTCAACTACTTCGGCCAGTCCTCGATCATTTCTGCAGTGGAGCTATATCGGTTGCTGCCCAGCAGTGTCTCGATATCCTGCGATTTATTCCCGGGGAGGCCTGTAGACAAATGTTACTTGCTTACGCTGCTTTGTTCGTCTGACTCAGATCTGACACGTCCGCACATAGGCGTCTGTCTGTGGCGAGACGTCGTCAATTTTGCTTCAATTTTATTATCTGGGTTTCTTCAATTTAACTGTCTATTTGAAGGCTGTTTACAAAAGGTATTTAGCCAGCAGATCTGATGATGCTCTTTACTGAGCCAGTCAGCCATCATCTGTCTTCCCTCGTTTCCCTGACCCAAGCCGAAAGTCCCAATGTATGGAGAATCTGTAGCAGCTTTTGCTTCAATTTTAGCAATAAAACCCTATACTATGATTGTAACCTTAGTCTTTTATGCATTTTTCCTGTAGTTAGAATAGTATATGTTCTTCATCTGTCGAGGCAGAGATGGGCGCATGCCCTTGTATAATCTGGATGCAGAGTTAATCTGCATTAACTCCTCTTGCTCCGCTCCTCATTAATTCCTCAGAACGGCAGAAATTGCTTTTTTTGAGACCGGCCGTGGGTTGGCACCAATATGGTTTACCAGAATTAATCCTGGTCATACCGCCAATGTTCGGTTACATGAGCCTCGTTGGTTATTTAACAGGGTGTCTCGCGAGCAGGTGATGTTACTCGTTACTGCTCACATCTCGATGTTACTCTTTCTCATGAGCACAGAAATCGGTCCCCGGACGTGGAAAAATCGCCTGGCGCCTGGGATTAAAATGGTGGTCCTTGTTCCAGCTTTTGCTTTCACTTGAGTATTTGATGCCTTCCTGCAGTTTAGACCTATCTTCTTTACGTTCACCCCTGGGGAGACGGAGAAGGCTTTGGCCGCTGTTTGGTGCACTGCTGGGTCCAGCTATAACAAGTTTTTCCACTCGCATTTTTTTGTCTTAAACTTAAACCCCGCCTTTTGAGTCTTCTCTCAACTAACACAAACAGTCATATTTTGTTGGATTATTTGAAATTTTAGAATAATGTAGAAATTAGATTATAGCCAGAAAACAATTTAAAGAATTATTTCAAACTAGCGAACAT